TGTGTGTGTGTGTGTGTGTGTGTGTGTGTGTGTGTGTGTGTGTGTGTGTGTGTGTGTGTGTGTGTGTGTTATTCCATGGCGTCTGAGCAGGAGCTTGTCTGTCAGTTGGACATGTTGATGGACAGTCTCCACCCTCTTCTTTATTTTTAGTGCACTTTGAAATGACATGAAACTGAAGAGGAGTAAAAACATGCAAAGTGGGTCTCGCCTGAGCTGGCGCGACGTTCCTGTGGTTGGCGCTCAGGTTTAAAGTGTATGCGCTTGGTGGATCGCGAACATTCACTTTTTACTGCATTCTGACTACATGAATGCCTGGCAGGCTACAAATGCTTTTTTAAAAGGGATAAAATACTCACATTAAACCTCATTTATGTATAAGTGGAATGAAGCAATGGGACTAAAAAAAGATTTGGAGTGTTTTAATATTTGACCAGAGAGCTTGTTGCTACCAATAGACCAAACTTTCTCCCAACAGTGGACTGGAATGCAATATAAGAGCTGAAACAAAGATCTCTGCCTTTACAAAAAAAATGACACCATACAACCTCAAATAGTGGACTCCACTGTAAGAGACGTCACACAATGATAGTATTCACAGTCCTTCAATTGTTTTTTTTTTCTCCAAATTTTCTGTCTGAGTTAAGTATATCGACTAAATGGATCAATAACTTAAAAGGATGTTTTGTTGATGATCGCCAGCATTGATGGACACCAGTCCAGTGCTGATCATGTTGGTGGCTCACCAGGCAGATGCATCAATAAATATCGATTAAATAGATCTATTGCTACACCCCTAAGATATATATATATATATATATATATATAAATAAATAAATAAAAAGATTTCCAAGATACCTTTCAAAACAAATATACTGTAAATATTCAAAGCCTGTGCTCAATAACTGGTTGCACCTTTGGCAGCAATGACATCAAGTCTTGGTTTCTTCTGAACAACAAGAACAAGAACAAGCTATTTGGTTGACTGGGGAGCATGCATTCACTTGTTCAATCACAGGGCGACATGGTGGGCAACTGGTTAGCACGTCTGCCTCAAAGTACAGAGTTTGTTGGGTTAGATTCTGGCTCCGGCCTTCCTGTGTGGAGTTCGCATGTTTTCCCCGTGCATGCGTGGGTTTACTTCGGGTACTCCGGTTTCCTCCCTCCAAAAACATGCAAGGCACTCTAAATTGTCCTTAGGTGTGAGTGTGAGCGCGAATGGTTGTTTGTCTATGTGTGCCCTGCGATTGGCTGGCAAGCGGTTCAGGGTGATGCCCCGCCCACTGCCCGAAGACAGCTCGAATAAGCTCCAGCACGCCCCGTGACTCTTGTGAGGATAAAGCGGATCGGAAAACGGATGGATGGATGGATGGATGTTCAGTCACATTGGAATCCCAGTGGGCTCATCAAAGCAGCAGAGATTTTTTTTCCCCTCCGGATCTGCGTCTTGAGAAAATCCTGTCTCAGAGCTCAACAGACAATTCCTTCACCGTAATGCTTGGTTTGTGGTTTGTAATGGTGGCAATCTTCCAGTGTCCAGCCACACCACTTGGGGTGTGAACTGCCACCATCACCGTGTCACTGGCTGGGAGTCAAGTACACTGAGCTAAAGGCCCGGACCGCTAACTAAGTGGCCAACGCCCTCTTCGATTTTTTTTGGGGCGGCAATGCTCACTGGACTCTGTTATACTTTTACATGCACTGTCAACTGTGGACAGTTACAGATTCGAGACAAGTGTGCGCCTTTCCAAATCATGTCCAATCAACAGAATAGTTCACACTATGTTCCCATGACATGGCTAGTTTGCTTTTTTTTTTTCATACAAGAGTCAAGTTAGTGAATTAGCTGGCAGAAAAACAGTATTCTCGACTATTTAATGAGCAGCAATTTATGCCCCCAACACATCCACCCTGACTTAACACTCCCAAAGAAATATTTGTCTTTTCACACTCCTCATGTTCAACCCCAGATACTTATTTTTTTCAATTTTTCCAAGACTTAGGGTAAAAAAAATAAAATTAAAAAATGGGGTCTAGAATTGGTTGGTACTGAATGAGTTAAAGGGTTGGTTAATTGTAAATGTTACTTGCAACTTTGCTTGAGCAGTTCATGAAGGTTTTGTGAGTACAAAAGTTGTTAAATTGCATATATTCCATGGTAAAAGTTGAACATCTCGTAGTGTCCTCAAATGGTTTGTGTTTGATCGGAGAAGTTTCACTGTATTTAGCGTTTGTTGAAATGTGAACAGGCAATTCTGAGAGGTCCAAAACCGTGATGACACAATTGCATCTTCGTTATTACTCTAATTACAGTGAAACTCCTCTACAACAAAACCTACATGGGCGAAAAATACCCTTGTGTGAAAAAATCTTCATGCATTAAAACCATTCCCACTTTTCTGCTCCCCCTACAACGAAAAATCCCCCTGTTGCGTTATACGAAATCTTTTTCTCTGCCCTTGCCTTGCAACGAGATTCACTACAACGAAAACAAGCCTTCCGCAAAAATCTAATCCAACCTCAGCCTACTGCTTAGCTCGGAAACGGCAACAGCAAACATCACAGTGGCTTACACATGCACAGTAGTACAGGAAGTATTTGTTTCAGACGCAGCACGAACGTTGAATTGCTAAAATGGCTACGAAATGGACCTTTGCAGACCAAGGAGATAAGAAAAGCATTCACGCTTGGAGACAGGATAAAAGTAATAAAAATGAAAGCTGGAGGAAGCAAAGTAAAAGACATTATGCAAGAAATTGATGTAAGTGGAAGTGAATGCTGATCGTAAATTTCGCAATTTCTTTCCCGTTTTTTTCTTTCTACACTGACTATATGAAGTGTCAAATAAGTGTATGCTCATATTTATGCATTACATATTGGAATAAAAATAAAGAGTACACATTTATGTTGTGTGTGTGTGTGTGTGTGTGTGTGTGTGTGTGTGTGTGTGTGTGTGTGTGTGTGTGTGTGTGTGTGTACATCTGAGATCAAATTTGCTACAGTGAAAAGCCCCCTGTTCTGAAAATTTTGTATTATCACAACTAAATGACTCGGTCAGTTTAATCATAGGTGCATGTTGTACAATGGAGTAAAAAGATATATCTTTATTACTGTAGGAATCTAACAGTCAAATAGCACAAGGTTGATACATTTTCATAAACATAAATATAAAGTACAAATCTAAACAATTTTATGCAGTTATGATAAATTACAAATATATGGCAGGAAATTTAATAAACGGTTGTCGATATACAGTATATGATGAGACAAATGGGCTGGTTCAAATCAACATTAATGGGACATACAAGAGTGTTACCATGACAACGACACCCTTAAAACAGAGTTCGATGTTGTGTTGTCGCCATGTTGTCAAACCATCACAGTTAATATCAATAAAGCATGGGATTATAATGTTGAGAAAAATGAACTAAAAACACACTATGACTCATATACACACACACACACACACACACACACACACACACACACACACACACACACACACACACACACACACACACACACACACACACGCACACGCACACACACAGACAATTCTTAAAGTTGGTTCTATGCTCTATGTAAAAGATTTACGGGACAAGCATGACAGTGACATGTTGCATGTGCAGGTCATTTTACTGCGGTAGCAGCACGAGTTTGTCCAAGAAGCGGAGCGGTGAAATAGAAACCACAACTCACTTAAGCCACACCCCCTTCAACCCACACTTCAGCACACAGGATCGCGTCAAAAGTCAGCTTGGACTTGCCGGAATGCCGATGTGCTATCGTGGCGGCGCTTGTGGGTGGGTCGTTTGAGGAAAACGAAAGCAGACTCCCGCTAGGTAACGCTACACGCCAAGGAGCATGCCCATGAAGTCGGAGCCATTCTGTATCGTGACGGAGGCCCCGGCAGCGTTGTCCACAAAGATGGAGGTGTATTGGCCGGCCTGCAAGAGGGCAACAAATTGTGTCATGCATGAGTCCAAACAGTCAACCTCCAGAACCCACCCACTACAAGTGAGAATCCGTGACCTCGATTTTTTTTTCCATAATTTTACCCCACCCACCTGCTTTGAATATATCTCAACTCATTATAATGCATTTAAACTTTGCATACTGTTCATTTTGCATGCACAGTAGCACTCTATTTTCGTAGAGAGGGCAACTGCGCTGCGGCGCAAACGTCTTGTGTCTTGGAGATGCGCATGGTCGAGTGGCAGAAAGTCAACCTAAACGTTACGCCAGCTCAAACCATGTCTAACACTGGTGGGCTGCTGGTCTAACGCAACATATTCATTCATAAATATGTGAACAGTGCGTATCAACACTCGTAGTATGGTATTGTATTTTTTAAATCATGATATATTCAGTAATAGGGCGGTCAAATGAACGATTGTGGGTTGAGGGTGGTCTCCAAGTGCCCACTTCATGACGCATAGGTGCTTTCGCCATGTCAAGACTCTAGTGGCCAATGAGCTTGAAACTTTTAGAGGGAATGTCAGGAGCTGCTTTGATTGGGCATTGATTGAAGTCTGCTCGTCCCACAGCAGCGCAGCACTCTCTCACACAGATCCGCCGGCCTGCACAAATTACGGTCTAACCCGGAATTATGCAATATGACATGGAAGAGAAAAAAATGTTCCAGGTCAATTATGACCAGGGTCGAGAATATCCTCATTATAATTGTTGGGCGCAAGTTATTGAACTGCAGATCGGTTCAAAATGTGTTTCTGGAAAATTTTAAGTCTACTTTTATATCCAACATTGCAGGTACCGTGTGTGACTTTTTCTTCTGTTTAGTATGTTTAACCACTATTAATTAGAACTGTATGTAAGGGTTAAAATGATCAAAACGCACATCAATTTGTGAAACTAAAAAAATGAACCCAGTTTATAAATACATTGCAGACATATTTGAATGAACATATATGTGAAATGAAAAGAGCAAAAATGCAAATAGGAAGAAGGGTAAATACTGTCTATGTAACAGTGAGCGAAGCTAATGCATGACTATCAACATAGCAGGGAGCAGAACGGCAACATTTGTTGATGCTTCATTTCTTACAAGATAACAATCTTGATTCATTATCTTCCTGCACAAGGTGAAAAGAGGCCGTGTCGCTATCAGTTGTCATGCGGGTTCATACATGCTAAACTGAAGACGTGTTTGGTAAGATTTTCTTTCCACATCACTGTTACGATTGAATGCGGTGCAACCAGATGGCTGCAGAATTCAGTGGGAAGCCTTAACGACACGATGGAATTTAAATGTTATTTGTCAAATAAGAATTATGTTGAATGTGGGGAAATTATTTTTAATCAAATGTGAAGAAAAACAGTGTGAATTCAGATGACTAGTTTGTTGTCTCACTTCGGTTGCACGCATTTGAGTATTTTCTCTGATTTATGATCAAAATCATCAAACATCCGATTATCCCGAGTGATTTTCCACTTCTTGTGCGCTGCTCAGTTTTACCATGGAACATCTGGGAGAACACCGTAAGCACAAAATGAAGTTTGAAGTGACCATTGGAAGTGCTTGTGGAAGACAAACCAACAACTAACCGAGTTACATAGAAAAAAAAAACAACTATTAACGTGATCATTTTGGTGAAGCCAGCAACCACATAAAATCCATGTTTTGTTTTCTTAATTTTTCTTGGATTCGTCCCTTGTGTAACGTTGTGTTAAAAACTTGAGGCAGCACAACATGCCACACTTTCTATGTGCCTTTGTTGTTGTTGTTTTTAAGGGTCGTGGACCAGTAGTAGGGGACCACTGATGTCAGGGGTCTCTTACATTTGAAAAATGTTAACGTCCACACTCTATTTAAAGGAGACGAATATAACATCAGCTAAAAGAAGGTGAGCTGCATCCAGAACTGACTCTGCCACAGCTTCCCTGAGCTATATTTGTCAGTTTTAATTTGACAACGACAGCCAGACAGGAGTTTAGAACAGGAGATCTTTTCACATCCCATCAAGAATAATGTCAGTACGAACAATTAATCAGTTAATTGGTTTGCCCTATCGTCATTCAATGTAGTCAAATGCCCGTCCCTCCCGTGTTCATCCCTGACCAAAAGAAATCACCGAATTAAGTAGAGGTCAATTAAGAAGAACAACAGGTTACTCACCTGCAGCTCCAGCAGTCCCTGAACACTCACAGTGAAGATTCGACTGTTACTTTCCAAGCCGACAATCATCTCCAAAGAGCTGCAAGACAACCATGATATTTTCAGAACAGCATTCACATTGGCATAATGACGCTTATTTGCATCAACGCCATATTGTAGAGACATCGGGGGTCAGAAGCAATCTGGAAACTTTTTTTCCTATAATTTTGAATAGAATGAACATATTCCTGTATTATCTAAGCAAGCCGAAAACATCTGTTCAGTGGGAAGCACTGGCTCATTTTAAGTTCAATCTACAGCATGTTTTATGGCAAATCAAGCTACTTTCATCTTCACATCGACCGCCATCGCAAAAAGACTGACTGCACATTCTCTGCATTTTGATATTGGCGAGGTCGAAGGGGATGTGTGCAAGACTATCTGAAGTGCCGGCTCAGAAAAGTAAAGCTAAGGAGTCTTCATATCAACCCCAATTCCACTGAAGTTGGCTACAGTAATGTAAAACTCAATGACAACAGAAAATATTTGAAAATCCTTATCAATGTATATTGTATACCGTATAACGTATAATCATTACAAAGGTAAGGAGGGCGGCACGGTAATCAACATTTTAGCACGTCGGCCTCACGGTGCAGAGGTTCAGGGGATCGATTCCGGCTCTGGCTTTCCTGAATGGAGTTTGCATGTTCTCGCAGTGCCTGCGTGGATTTTCTCCGGGTACTCTGTTTTCCTCCCAAACTCCAAAAATAATGCATGGCAGGTTGGTTGGGAAGTCCAAATTGTCTCTAGGTGTGATTGTGAGCGCGGAGGGTTGTTTGTCTATGTGTGCCCTGCGATTGGCTGGCACACAGTTCAGGGTGGGTCACGAAGTCAGCTGGGATAGGCTCCAGCACGCCCCGTGACCCTCATGAGGATACACGGATTAGAAAATGGATGGATGGATGGGTGGACAAAGCAAAGGACATTTATATTGCAGCTGATCAACGTATTCATTTTTGCTGTTGTTTTGAAATGATGTGACCTGCGCCTCCTCAGTGGCTGCTTGGTTTCCCCAATAGCAACCACTGAGCAAGACCGTGTCACAAAACAGAAAGCCCAGCTCTTCCGGTCATGACTTCAACAGCCTACCATCACCTCAAAGGGAAAAAGCACTTGTGAAAAAAAGAAATGTACAGATTCAGGACAGAGAAGACAAATGGTTTGGAATAGGAATTAGGGAGGCCATCTACGTCAAGGTTAAGAAACTATCTCTAAACAGAAGAGGCTTACGAGTTAAGACAGCACCCATCTCCCACACATGATGCTGTCCTTTCATCCCTTCCCAAGAGATTCTATAATTTAGTATCTTACAAATTACAACAAACAAACAGGGTCACTTCTAGCCTTCCATGACCATTGTTACAACTGAATGAATCCAAAGTATAAACAAGGATGATTCTACCCAAAGGACTAGTCACTGGCAGGCAGAGGCCAATGTAGCAACGACCATTATGGCTGGCACGTGCCTCGAATTTACAGGATCAATTCTTGGTTTCCACCAGGGCTGCGCGCAAATCTGTGGTTAGTTGAAGTTAGATGATGTGAATTGGCCGTTAAAAACGAACGCTGAACACAATGTTCTGATTCGAGTCAGAACAGGTCAAAGCATTGTCATGTTTATTTTCACATACAGTATAAATGTGAAAAGGAAATAGCCACACTCCTCAGTATGTGTGATGGTCAGTATAGCAAATGCGTCCTTTTAACAGCCATCAATGTCGGTTTCCTTGGTCGAATTATTTACTTGCAGTTTGCTACTAAAGTTAAAAAGATGGAATTAGATAGATAGATAAAACAAAGCTAACAACGCAACACTCCATCATGAATAAGCCGTGCTAGCAATGTAGCAGCCATGGCTAAAATTGGCTTACTTCACATCTTTTGTGTTTCAAAACCGTAAACCGAATTTGAATAAGGGTAAGGATGTTAAAATGTTACATAATACACTGCAGGGGCATTTTGTTTCATGATGGCTCCAGTTTGTTCCTGTAACTGATTATTATACTATGTATCATAATTTCATCGTGAGAACTTTGTTTTTTTAATCTGTAAAGTATGAATTTCACCAACATGCTAGAATGGATTGTGTTTAGAGTGCGCACTGTAATACCCATAATGTGTCACACTTACGTGTATCTGTGGCAAAGTGACTCGATGCAGATTAATACACGAATATTGTCCCTGGCTTTCAGCTGGGTCTTGCTTCTCTTCACCTCACTGTGATCTGAAAAAAAGTCCACATTTGCTGTTACCTCTAAAGCAACACTCTTGCATTTACATTACAAATTGTGGCACTTATTCAAGTCATATGTATGCTGCTGTGGCTTAAAATAAACAAAATAGCACATTTGGCATTGCCTTAGTGACCTCAGCTAACCAATTTAGCGGTCTATATTAATCTATATGTGCGCCACCAAGCAAACCTACACTTACATTAATGTGAGTTGCGTGCAGTACTTCAGTCATGATCAATGTTGATTTCAATGATCAATGTTTCTTGCAATGAGGTTGACTATTTTAGCGATGAAGCAATACGGGTGGTCATCAGTTTCCTAACTGCATCTTTAGCGGTTTGTGTAATTTGATTTACCAATATGGACATTAGCAGAGAACTGGTAGATCCCTGTGATGGAGGCGGTGAATCTGCCAGTAGACTGATCCATGCCTGACCCTCTCAAGAAGGCTCCCTTGGCTGGCGGCTGAAAACAAAGTCAAGATCAGAGGCGGCATTTTTCGAAATAAACAGTGATTTGATGGGGGAAAAAATAATGTCACAGAGAATTGAAGAAGTATATTTGCTTATATGTTACAGTGTGCTGACTCCACTTATTATTTTCCTGCAATAGGTGTTGGTAATTTTTGTTTCCTGGTGTATTTGTATGTAACCGTTTCAACTGTTTACATGACAGGCTACATGTTGTTATGTCACCATTATGATGTTAAGGGTAACTTGAATCATGAATGGTTCCTTTTCCAGTTGGATTCAGAACACAACGGAACCGCTTCAGATTATTGTGCGCAAGGGTTGATATGGTCAGCATCTGTACGTCGATCACTAATGAAGCAGAGGAACGCAAACTAATATTTTATTCCAACAGACTAAAGGGCTTCATTGTGGGATCTTGTGTTTTTCAATTATCCGAGTATGTCACAAGTCCACACGATTAGCCCCCAGCCTGTCTCCTTCCGTCTATAAAGGTTCTGCTATGCCCGCCTCGTCAACAGGCTTCTTCCACTAAAGCAAGCTGTTTCTTACAGTGTCTATTTCTGTCCTCTCCAAACTTTATTCCAAGTCACAGACAGAGTGCCTTTTGTGTGCTGTCCAGAGAGTGATGTGTGGAATTGAACTGATATTTTTGACTGGCTGGTCTTTGGTTGGAACTTCAGGCTTTACCAGTGCCAGTTACCACTGAGGGGAGGATGCCTCGCACAAACTAAACAATGACGAGCAAACACAAGTCTCTCACCGCTACTGGCATACCACTGTGACGCAAATGAGTCCGAAAAGCAGTTTCTTTCAGAAGGATAAGGACAATTCTTCAGATTATGGCCAAGTTATCAAAAGGAATGAAAATAAATAAGTCAACCCCTGAAATAAATTATTCATCCTATTGTGTTTAAACATATTTGGAAAACAGTAAGTATGTCATCTGTAACCTCAAAATGTCGAATGTAGGTAACATTGTAAACCGAGGACCGGCTTGTAGTTTTTTACCCACCCAATATGGCTCCTTGACCCCCATTAGGGTACTGATAAACCAGTTGAGAATCACAGATTTCGAGTTATGGCTTGAGTCACATGCAGTGAGTTGGCTGCAGTTGTCAACATTTGCAACATACTGTTTGAAAATTCTGGAGCTCCACCAAAGTCTTCTTGTCAACCACCACGGGTCCCTTGAGTTTGCAATGGAAAGCCTCATCGATTCGCCGGTAGGAGGTCATGCCTTCCTGCAGCGTGAGGAGAGCGACGGGAAGCTGGCTGGAAGCGGGTTGACGATCCACAGCCCCGGTCCGTCTCTCTGTAGCCTCTGTTAGAAACACAAAGGTCATCACCACAAAGGCCCAGTTAATACGATCCTAACCCGCCGTGTTATGAGGCCCATACCAGCTGCACAACCAACATGCTTTTTACCTTTTATCATCTCTTTGAACTCTTGGAGAAGAACTTCCTGGGTCACCTCAGCTCCGGGTGAGCCAGGTGGTCCTTGTGGGCCCGGAGGACCTGGAGGACCAGGTGGACCTGGCTAATGAAGGACAGAAACCAAACGTTAGCAACCTAGCAGGTCATAAAAGTCACAAATTAAATCCTGATGTGTCTTGTGTGTGTCGGCGCGATAGTAATAAGAACAAGAAAAAGGTCACGCATTGTGAGCAAAAAGGACAACAACGCAAGGCAACTTTCCTCTTGACGTGTGACTCTTTATTCCATGAGGAAGACCTTTGGTAGCCTATTTGTCCTCTTCCCTGTTGTGAAAGCGCTATATAAGTCAGTATTGTATTGTATTGTATTCCCATTCTGGAATTTGTGTCTAGTTCCACCTTTTGGGTAGCCTACCACTGTCCTCGATGCGCCAATGCCAAACAGTGTTGTGGAATGGATCTGTAAATTCCAATCTTTCAGTTTGATCGTCTTGCATCATATAACATGTGGACAAGTGATTAAAGACAAACAAACTTGATTGCTTGATCGAAAGGCTGTGTTTTTTTTTCTTTTTTTTTTTTCTTTTTTTTTTAAACACTATGACGGTCACGTAAGTCTTCTGGGTTTACCAGAGGTCTTTTCCTTTTGCGACATTTTGCTGGGAAGTTGCCAACTGGTCGCTTGACAAAGTCCATCCATGATCCCAATGGATCCACTCTCTGGTTGTCAGAAACCTGCAACGAGAAGGTAAAATTACCTTGGGTTTGCAAAGGAGGAACCGTTAAAAAATAAATAAAATTGAAGAAAATTTTGCAGGTTTAGCTAACTAGATCTCATTTCTTCGAAGAATAAAACTTGATTCCCAACACAGCAGAAAAGCGCTCTTAATTTGCATTATTAGAGCTCGGCCTTTTCCAAACAGCACAAAGTGGCTTTTAAAGTTACATTTGAAACATGTGAAGAGCTGTACACAATATGGCGAATTGATTTTTTTCCATGCCTCCACTTCATTTAACCACCCAATGTCAATGTCATTTTTTTTTTTTTTTTTTGGAGAGCACATTTCATATGGCAAGCATAAACACAGTGTGCTTCAGGATAAAAAAGCAAAATGGCAACACATGAAAAAATATGTTTTAAAACAACCAAACAATACAATAAGAAAACAACCCAAAACATTAAAAGCGAGTAAGAATAAATATGCTTTAAGATTACATTTACAGGAAGATATTGTTGGAAATGAATCATCCACAATAACAACAGAAGCCACCCTTTTTCTCCCAACAGGAGAAGAAAAATATCTGGTTGGACTTACCTGATACCACTTTGTGTCAACACATAGCCTGCAGTTTAGTTCATTATCATAATTTAATTCTAATTCTATCCCGTGCGCAAATTCTTTGCACTTCATGAGATGCAGCCTTTTGATTTATCAATTTACCCGTAAGTTTGGTCTTTTCAAAACAGTCCATTACTGTTCTCCTAACCCATTCCCTCCAGATATTTCACTTGGTCAAATCCTATTTTCCAGAAGAGCCTCAGACAAATGTAAACAAAGTGAATGATTTCTTAGAATGTGGAATGTTCCTTGAGCAAGACGGTTTAAAAAAAAAAAAAAAAAAAAACGTAAGTGTGGCGGACTGTCCACATTTGCTTATACTAACGTAAGAACATTGTAATAGTTTGTACTGCATGCCCAGGCTTCATATGATTTAATATTGTTAATTTACTTTCCAATTTGTGTACTTATATGAAACAGCTCACTTGTGACACGTTACTGCACAGCCTCCATTAGCCAGACATGAAATATTCCAAGATATCTGGACACAACATTTACATGCACGACACTGTACATTTTGGTTGATGTCAAACGAGAGCCTGAATGAATTCCAATTGCATTCACGGTAAGCAGCCTTTCAACCAAACGTCAAATCGTTGCGGTCGAGATAGATGAGGAGATAAAGACGAGCCACGAAAGGTGAGTCGTCTGAAATGGAATTTGTTTAGTTTTGGCAGCAAGACGCAGATCACTTATCTGCAAAACCAACACAACATTTTTTTTTGCACTATACAAGACCTGCCTGCCTCTTGTTCCACTGCAATAAAAAAAATGGTTTCTTGTTTGCCTTCTCAATATGCTGGAATCAAAACACTTTTTCCCCCCCCACAAATATTTAGAGTGTCTCTTCTGTCTGACAGCAGGCTAAATAAACAAGTTAACATGTTGGATTTTATTCTGTTTTTGTTGTGCTTCTCAGGCTGGGAAACACACAAATGCAATGAAAATGAGAACTTATGAGACTACTTTTCTGGCTCCCCAATACAATTTCCATAAAAGGCTTGTGGTAATTTTCCACTGAGAGTTTTTAAGAATAAGTACAGTTTTAAAGGGATATCGTGTGTGTGTGTGTGTGTGTGTGTGTGTGTGTGTGTGTGTGTCTGTCCTGTCTGTGTGTC